ACAAGGTGACCCCCTCTCTCCTTTAATTTTCAATTTGGTGGCCAATGTCTTTTCTAAGATGTTATCCAAAGTTGTTCATCGTGGGTTGATTGTTAGTCTCCTTCCAAATGTTGGCCCTAGTGTTGGTGTTAGCCTACAATATGTTGATGACGCCATCCTCTTCCTAGATGCTTCTTGGAACATGCTAGGAACATGAAGTGGGCTCTGACCTGCTTTGAAAAGCTCTCTGGTTTAAAAGTTAACTTTCATTAATAGAGTGATCTCCATACTATCCATATGGATGAGGAAATTTCTAAATGTTTTACCCAGTTCTTATGATAGGGGATTTCCCTTTCAAATATCTGGGTGTTCCTTTACACTTCAAAAAACTTAGGAGGGAAGACCTCCAGCCTAATTGACAGGATCATCAAAAATATCTCTGGCTGGCTGGGTAGGAATCTGTTTTATAGGGGCACACTTTTTTTGCTTACTACCTGTATTGCCAATATCCCTACTTATTTAATGTCTGTTATGAAATTTCCCAAGTGGCCTATTGAAGCCATTAGTTCTCGAATGCCTCACTTTTTCTAGGGCAACTCGGGAGATGAACACAAGTATTATTTGCCTAATTGGGGGCTTATCTCGAGGAAGAAAAGATTTGGTGGATGGGAGTACTAATCTTAGGGATTTCAATTTGGCTTTGCTTGCCTCTTGGAGTAAGAGGTTTTATGATGAGAGAGATAGTGACTGGAAAAAGCTCCTTTGCTTTAAATATGCTACTAACAAACCTAATTTTTTTGGGATAAACCTAGGATGGGTTCTCCCTTCTGGAAAAGTATTTCTTAGGCTTTTAATGCTGCAAAAACCTTTTATAAATGGTTTCCTAGGGATGGGCGGTATGTGGCCTTCCGACATGACATTTGGATAGGGGATTGCTCCCTCAAAACCTTTTTTGGGATCACTTTGAGATCTGCCAACATACAAGATGGTACTATTGAACAAGTCTGGGATGGGGAGACCCTTCATCTTACATTTAGGAGATGTGTGGGTGAGTTTACTTTTTCTAGATGGTTTGAATTAGTTCATATGCTTAAGATGTTTAATTTTTTTGATAGTAAAGATCAACCAGTTTGGATGTTGGAACCTTCTCGTAAATACTTTGTTAAATCCCTTTACAAGATGGTGAACTTTGGGGGGTCTCCTCTGAGAATTAAAGCTCCACCTAACATCCAGGTGTTTCTTTGGCTTATTTTAACAATAAGAGCTTAACTTGGGATAATCTTGCTAAGAGGAGGCATGTGGATGACACCTCTTGTGTTTTCTATAGTGAGATTGAAACCATACAACATTTTATTCTTTGATTGCATTGTTGCAAAGGAAATTGTGTCTGTCATTGTTGGGTGTGTTTGCATTTCTATGCCCAGTTCTTTCACTTCTCTGATTCCTTTCTGGAAGCATAAAAAAATGAAGTTCTTAACTTGGTTTCCTCAGCTACCTTGTGGGGCTTATGGCTTTTGCAAAATGACTGTGTTCTAGGGGTGAAAGTGGTGAAGCATGCAATGCATCCTAGATTTGGCCGGCTTGTGGTCAGGCAATGGAAGATCTTGTGTTCAGACAATCACGATGCTCTTCTTCTTTGATGCTTAAGGCTGCTCGATCATTGGCGAGGCGAGCTGCTTAGGATTGCTTCGTCTAGTGACCTGTAGTGGTGCTCGATAGCTTGTTTTGTTGATCATCAATGTATCATGTTGAGTGTTTTCATGTTTGTTTGTAAGGGCGAAGTTTAAAACCGTGTTATTCTGCTGCAGCTACATTTGGCCTGCACTGAGGTTAAGCTTTGTCTAATGATGGTTTCTGCCTTGGCTTAATAAAAGTTCAGGGGTGCAGGAGGGGGGCTTTATTGCAAAAAAATCATCAAGTTGATTGGAGGATATGGTGTCTCCGTAATTATATGCTTCTTGACACTGAGGTGAGATTACCTATGCAGCTACTTTTCCTCCTCGGCTCACAAAGAGAAGCAGTCTATTAAAAGTACAATAAAAGGAAAGGCATCTATCGAAGTATCCACTTGCAGTGATCCTTCGAAGCAGCCTAAGTAGAGCCCCACATGGCCTCCGCCACCTCCTAACTAGGTGGCGCTCTCGGTTGACGGGTCGTTCGTGAAAGAAACTGGTAAAGCGGGTACTGGAATGGTGCTTAGAGATTCAGAGGGGTTGTAACCATTTTGGCTTACAAATTTTAGTTTCATTACAATAATGCCCTCGAAGCCAAACCTAGTGTGATGATGGAAAGGAATGCACTAAGCCTACAACAATCATAGCTTCATGATCTAATCGAACAATTCTACTACGTCGCTGCGCTAACCAACCAGTCATGGAGCGTTCCTCTTATGGACACTTGGTGTTGAAGATCAAAAGCATCTTGGAGAACCGTCAATTTATTTCGTTGAAAATTGCACGCAATCAAAATAGATTTTCTCATTACCTTGCTAATCTACGGCGTTACGAGATAGCACCGCTTGTTGGTTGCGTCATGTGCCAAACAATGTTTCTTTGGTCGTATTTAAAACAGTTTTGCTAAAGCATGTCTAGATATCTAAGTCATATATCATTGATCTTACATCGAGATTCGTGTGAATATTTTTTTTCTTTTTTTTATGCTTGATTCACTCATTTAGATGTGCAAATAACTAGAGCACATCTAATTCCTGCGTAATTTTTTTTGTCCATGGCAGTGCTTTTTAAGAGTTTTCGCCAAACACGACGCGCCGCCGTGTGTGTTCCCTCCGCTCGATCGCTTGCGCCAGTTGGACTCGTCCTCCCTCTAAACTCCAGCCAACCAATCGGGAAACGACTTCCCATCGCTTTCCCCTTCCCCCCGCCCGCATGCTGGGTGCCGTCCTCCGCGGCCCGGCCTCTCCGATCCCGCCTCTCTTCCCCTCGCCGGGGCGCCCTCTCATCCACCTATCCCGCCGCCTCCCTACGGCGCCCACCATGGCCGACGCCAAGAAGACCGACGCGCCGGCGACCCCGGCCCCGGAGCCGCCCGAGAAGCCGCTCCCCGGCGACTGCTGCGGCAGCGGCTGCGTCCGCTGCGTCTGGGACATCTACTACGACGAGCTCCAGGACTACCAGAAGGCCCTCGCCGCTCACTCCTCCGCCGCTGATCCCAGCGGCGACAAGGCCTCCGCCGACGAGAAGAAGATCAAATCGTGAGACCCCAGGATTCAGGACCCGTATGTGTATGCTTTGACCTCTCCTGTTCACAAATTGGATTCTTGGTCGTGTAAGATATGTCAGCATTACTCACAGCATTACAGCTAAACATCCATTGTATTCTCACCGTGTATGCTGCAATTTGTACTTGCTGCTCATCATTCTTTGTGTGACCAAAGATGCCCCTGATTATGAATACAAGTTCCTTTCTGCAGCAGTTCAATTCATGTTTACACATACTTGCTGCTAAAATTGGTCAATTTTGTGTCGCCAAAGATGCTCCTGGTTATCAAATAGAAGTTCTTTTCTATTGCGACTCTTCAATTCATGTTGCAGATACTGCTGAAATTGGCCAAATTTGGTGCGACAAAATATTATTTCACTATAGTAAAACTCTAGCCAAGAAGCCCCAACCAATCACCAATGCTATTAGAATCAGGAGAGATTAGCGAGTTTGTTACATCATTTGTTCTCATGACCGACGACGACACCGGTACACACTACAAAGGTGTTACTTATTCATGCGTTCACATAGAACCTATTGATCATCGTCCGAACCACCAAAGGGATCCTCACCGTGTGTGTGCCGTCCTCCCATGTCAGGCTGCCGAAGGTGTACCTCCCCTGAACCTTCAGTTTGGCCTGGAATGCCACCTTGAATGTTAACCTGTTGACTGTCGAGTTGAAGGTCAGGAGCGAGGGGTTCACGGTGACGTTCACCCCTGGAGGTGCTTCCACACGGGCTCTGTACTTGGACGTGACTGGGCCGACATTGGTGACCGTTCTCGACACCGACAGTTTGCCCCTCAGTTCAGGAATGGTGATGGATGGGACGTTCAGGTTCAGCTGCGATTTTGGCGAATGTTGACAGGGTGTGTGCTGCTGAACCATGGAGGCGATGGCTGAGTTGTTGTAGCCCATGGAGCAAAGGAAGCGCACGTAATCAGATGGTCTCATGTCGTACACAAGACCAGGGTGTGCAGCCCTATTTGGATCCACATGGCCACCTCCATAGTCGAAGGGATTCGCCTGCTTGTAGGGCGCTGCTTCAGATACCATCTCGAATCCATACTCGTCACGGACATTGGCTACAAAGGTGTATACCTGTTAGTTAGGGGGAGAATATGTGTGACAAGGTGAAGCATATGACCATTACCTGTTGTGACCATTGCCGATTTTACTGCAGCTGGGCTCCAATTAGGATGCATTGATTTGAGAAGAGCGGCCACGCCTGAAATGTGCGGGCACGACATTGAAGTTCCAGAATCAATCTTGAAATTCACAGATCCCATGGCCGATGATAAGGCTACAGAAGGTGACCATGAAGCCAAAATGTTTACACCCGGGGCAGTTATGTCTGGCTGCAGAAGTTAGATGGCAAGAGAAGAAGCGTGTTTATTTGGAGTTTAAGCTTAGTAGAATGCATTAAGGACAAACTTGGGTGGTCAGCTGTGGGATGTAATTACCTTCAGAATTGATGGAGTCAGAGAACTTGGGCCCCTAGATGAGAAGTATGCAACTTCAGGGCCTATCAGTTCTCCAAGAATTGTTTTTGCGGAGCCAAACTGAACCGTTGGGTTTCTGTTTATGTAGAAAAACAAATCTCAACATGGCTCAACAGACACTAGAACATCATAAATTCAGTTTTTTCGCAACTACGGAATCATATACAATACTGTTTTATGTACCTCGTGCTAGTAGTATATGCAAGTATGGCTGTTCCAACTTGATAGTCTACTTGAATAAGGGGAATATCAAAAGCAGATGCTATATCTTTGGTTAAAAACTGCGCGAAGATGACTCCTACACCACGGGCCTTTTTTACGGTCTCTACTGCCACCTGGGATGCTCGCTGTCCTCTTGTTTGGAAGCAGAGCACCACATTTCCTTTTACTAGAGTAGCATTCAAAGATCCTGCAGTGCAACTTCTGCAGAGGCATTAGCCAAAAAGAAAAAGGGAGTGTATTTTAGGATCGATAAAGAACCGAACAAGGATGACGAAGCTTACCTTGCATCAGTATCATCAGCATTATCAGATGAAACGTCTTCAGCATATACTATACGCATGCTTGTCGCGGCATGCTTCCCAGAATACATTGTTTGGCCCTGCAACCATGGTACATGAGAATGCCAGAAGCAGACAGGGATATATCAACAGTTTGAAACCATAAATTCAAACCGATAATTCAGATGAAACTCTTACCACATAAGTACTATTGTTGCCCAGGGTGATCTTTGCGAGGAAAGTCCGATCAATGGTGCCCGCAGCAACGGTTAGAACCCATGGTGCAGAGTTGATCACTGTCTCTGAATAAGGACCGGAGTTTCCTGCAGAACAGACCACCGTGATCCCTCTCACGACTGCGTGGAACGATCCAATGGCCAGGACATCATCAACATAAGCAGGGAGAGGTGGTGCTTGGCCGAGGGAAACCGAGAGCACATCGACACCGTCGTGTATGGCAGCATCGAAGGCAGCAAGGATGTCTGCAGAGGTACAATCACCAGTAGCCCAGCACACCTTGTAAACAGCCAACCTAGCCCTTGGTGCCCCTCCCCTCGCCACACCACTGGCAAGCCCCCGGAAGCTGGCGTCGGGCACTAGAGCGCCGGCAGCAGTGGATGCCGTGTGCGTCCCATGCCCGACAGCATCCCTTGCCGACATGTACTCGTGGATGTCAGTCGTGTTCATCTTCCCGTACTCGGCTTGGTACCCTTTGAGGAACCACTTCGCGCCTATTATTTTCCTATCCTATCATGAATCTGAAGTCACCACCAGGATGGTACATTCTCACAAGCAAAAGGTAAGCAAGAGCTGAAAGAAAAGAGCAGGCATGCTAACCTGTTGCAGTTGGAAGCATTGAACCTTTCTCCGGCGACGCATTGCCCTTTCCACCTCCGCGGAACCTCGCCGATGCCATCGTCTCTAAAGCTGGCTGACTCCGGCCATATCCCTGAAAAGTTAAGATCCCAAGAAAAACCTCAGTCATCACATTGCAGTGTCAGTGTCAGTTCTGATTTCTGCTGCAACTGAAGAACTGCAGCCTCACCTGTGTCTAGCACACCGATGATGGAGTCCTCCCCGAACTTGCTGCCGGAGAGGATTCCGCTCCCGCCGGACGGCGACGGGTTCACCCGCATGAAGTCCCAGCTCCTGGTGGTGTGCAGGTCAAGCACCCGGTTCCGAACCACCCGCACAACCCCAGGCCAATCTTTTTGATTTAATAACCAGAGCAAAAGGAGAAACAGTTAGCAGAGCAATTAATTTGTTATGAACAACGGCAAGATGTGCATGCCCGGCCGCTCACCGGAGAGCTGCGCCGCCTGCGCGTTGGTGAGCACGGCGGCGAAGCCGGAGAAGCCGTGCCTGTAGCTGTAGAGGATGGCGTCCTCGGCCGCCTGCTTGCTGCGAAATCACAGCCAGCTCTTGAGTTCTTGAGGCGCGCTCCAAAGTAATTAGCGACCATGGATGAAGATGAGCTCACCTGCCGAGGACGGCGGCGAGCATGCCGTGGTGCGAGTCCCGGACCAGCTCCGGGTGCAGCTCCGGGTGCAGCTCCCCCATGTACACAATGTGCACCTGCAGATCGGCAGGCCAAGAAATGAGTAAACACGCAGCCATGGCAGGCTATGCGCCGCCACCGAACACCATGGTGAAGCTTGAACGGACGGCTCACATTGGCGCAGGAGCAGAGGCCGAGCAGCGGGAGGAAGACGACGACGACGACGACGACGACGGGGGGCTTGTCAGCCATGGCCGCCGCAACGGTAGCTCGAGAGGAAGCGTGACGCCGGCGCCGGGAAAGATGGAGGGTTGCGGCCGAGTGGAGTGGTTTGAAAGGTGAGGCGAGAGAGGGGGAGGTGGGGTTGGTGTCTTGCCGTGGCCGGCTTCTCTCTCGGGCAGGCTCCTGTCAGTGTTGGACCTGGACTCGATTCAAATCTCCTACCAGGAGTAGTAAAATACAGTGCCCCGCAGCAGCCACTGTCGCAGTGGATCTGCTTGCTTGCTTGTCTCTTTGTTTACTCTTTGTTCTTCCTCCTGCCGCAGCGAAGTGCTCCTCGGGCGGAGTTTTCTAATGGAGCCGAGGTGATCACTGTCGTGCTCCCACTCCCGTCCCACCCTCCCTCCTCTCTCTCCTGTCGATCCGTTTGCTGCCTGTGCCGGAGGTGTTGGCGTCCGGCCGAACGCGCCTCCCCCGTTGGGTGCTCCGCTCACTTGTTTTTCTAATTTCTCGCCCTTTGCTTCGGTAGTAAAATATTGAAAGGAAGATATTTGGTGAAATTCGAACTCCACTGCTATAAAGCGAAATTGGCTAATTCCAAAGGCGGAAGCAACTCTAATTTAGCAAATACGGAGTATAATAGTTGAGCCTCTTATCACTTTCTCCGTGCAGCAAATTAGTGTTGACAGTAGTACCAAAAACATACTTATTTATAACTATGATTTCAAATCAGAAATACAACACAAATATATGGTCCAAGATTTGTCTTAACTACACAAAATACGTCATTTCCGGGCACGTAAGGTAGGAGATAATAACATTGCTAGCCATTATGTCAGACAATGACATTATTAGCAATTATATCTCGACAAAATTAGGGGTGCGTCTTTGATTCGCATGATTCTCAAAATGCAGGAATATAGAATCGGAATGATGTGTCCTCTTGAATCCTATAGGATTAGGAAACCACCAAAAAAAATTGTTGATCTTTTTGCTGTGTGTGTGTGCTGGTGGTGTTGGCACCTTGCCCGTTGGGTGCTTGACTCACTTATTTATTTCTTGACAATGTTTTGCAGCGCCGTAGGATTCTCACCCAATTTTCATTGCAAAACTACCCATCATAAAATATTAAATAAAGATAGTCAAATTTGAATTCACTGCTATGAAGCGAAAATTGGCTAAATCCAAAGTTGGAAGCAACTCTAATTAGCAATATAATAGTTGAAGTTACTGAGAGCCTCTTATCACTTTCTCCATGCACGAAGTTGTGTCAATAAT